AGGGTTGGGGTTCTCCAAGGGGTGGGGTTCATCAGGAGTTGGGGTGTCTCCAAGGGTTGGGGTTCATGAAGACTTGGGGGTTCTCCAAGGGGTGGGGTTCATCAGTGGTCCACCAGAATTTGGGGGTTCAGCAAGGGTTGGGGGTCTCCAAGAATTGGGGGTTCTCCAAGGAGTGGGGTTCATCAGGAGCTGGGGGTTCTCTGAGGGGTGGCATTCTCCAAGGGATGGGGTTCATCAGTGGAAGGGGTTCATCAAAAGTTGAGGGTTGTCCAAGGGTTGAGGTTCATCAATGGAAGAGGTTAATCAAGACTTGGGGGTTCTCCAAGGGGTGGGGTTCATCAGGAGCTGGGGGTTCTCCAAGGGTTGGGGTTCTCCAAGGGGTGGGATTCATCAATGGTCCACCAGAATTTGGGGGTTCAGCAAGGGTTGAGGTTCTCCAAGAATTGGGGGTTCTCCAAGGGGTGGGGTTCATCAGGAGCTGGGGGTTCTCCAAGGGTTGGGGTTCATCAAGACTTGGGGTTTCTCCAAATGTTTGGGGTTCATCAATGGAAGGGGTTCATCAAGAGTTGAGGGTTGTCCAAGGGTTGAGGCTCATCAATGGAAGGGGTTCATCAAAAGTTGAAGGTTCTCCACAGGTTGAGGTTCATCAATGGTCCACCAGAATTTGGGGGTTCTCCAAATGTTGGGGTTCATCAATGGAAGGGCTTCATCAATAGTCCACCAGAATTTGGGGGTTCAGGAAGGGTTGGGGTTCACCAAGAATTGGGGGTTCTCCAAGGGTTGGGGTTCTCCAAGGGTTGGGGTTCACCAAGGGCTGGGGTTCTCCAAGGGTTGGGGTCCTCCAAGGTTTGGGGTTCTCCAAGGGTTGGGGTTCTCCAAGGGTTGGGGTTCACCAAGGCTTGGGGTTCATCAGTGGAAGGGGTTCTTCATCAGGATTTGGGGCGTCTCCAAGGGTTGGGGTTCCCCAAGGTTTGGATCTTCACCGAGGGTTGGGGGGACATCGGTGGAGGGAGTTCTGCAAGGGTTGGGTTGGGTTCATCCATGAAGAGGGTTCCCCAAGCGTTGAGGGTTCACCAAGGACTGGGGTCCATCAATGGAGAAGATCCACAGAATTTGGGGGTTCACCAAGACTTGAAATTCCCCAAAATTTGGGGATTCACCACTGGTTGGAGGATCCATCAATGAAGGGGTCCACCAAGGGTTGGGGGTCCATCAGTGATGGTGTTCACCACGGGCTGGGGGTTCTCCAAGGATCTGGCGTCCATCTCTGGAGAGGACCCACCAGAATTTGGGGTTCCACCACGAGTTGGGTGGAGATTGACCAAAATTTGGGAACTCACCAAAGATAAGAACGTTCATCAACCAATCCACCAACATTCGGGGGGCCACCAAAACTCGGTTTCCCCCAAAACCTGGTGGTCACCGCACGTCCCACCGCGAGCAGGTCCTGGGTGAACCTCTACTGCGTGCTGGCCAAGGGCGACCTGGGCTTCTACAAGGACGCCAAGGGCCCCGCGGCCGGGGCCACGCACGGCGGGGAGCCCCTGCTCAGCCTGCACCGCGCCGCCAGCGAGGTGGCCAGCGACTACAAGAAGAAGAAGAACGTCTTCAAGCTCAAGTGAGTTCTGGGGCCGCTCGATTTTGGGGTCTCTGATGTCTCTTTTAGGGTTTCTGGTGGCACTTTTGGGGTCTCTGATGGCATTTTTGGGGTCTCATGTTGCTTTGGGTGGGTCTGATGTCACTTTTGGGGTCTCTGATGCCACTTTTGGGGTCTCTGATGGCATTTTTGGGGTCTCATGTTGCTTTGGGTGGCCCTGATGGCACTTTTGGGGTCTCTGATGCCACTTTTGTGGTTTCTGATGCCACTTTTGGGGTCTCTGATGGCATTTTTGGGGTCTCATGTTGCTTTGGGTGGGTCTGATGTGACTTTTGGGGTCTCTGATGGCATTTTTGGGGTCTCATGTTGCTTTGGGTGGGTCTGATGTGTGGGGTCTCTGATGGCATTTTTGGGGTCTCTGATGCCACTTTTGGGGTCTCTGATGGCATTTTTGGGGTCTCTGATGCCACTTTTGGGGTCTCTGATGGCATTTTTGGGGTCTCATGTTGCTTTGGGTGGCCCTGATGGCACTTTTGGGGTTTCTGACACCACTTTTGGGGTCTCCTGTTGACTTTGGTGGCTCTGACACCCCAAAGTCCACGGTGACAATGTCCTGCTCTTGCAGGACCGGCGATGGGAGCGAGTTCCTGCTGCAGGCCAAGGATGAGGTGCGGCTCTGGGGGAGTCTTGTAAAGTTTTGGGGGGTCTGACGGGGGCTTTGGGGGGTCTCATGGTGGTTTTGTGGGTTCTTTGTAGGGTTTAGGGTGTCTGGTGGAGGTTTTGGAGTGTCTGATGGCGATTTTGGGGTGTCTGATGGTGGTTTTGGGTTGTCTCGTGGTGGTTTTGGGGTATCAGATGGTGGGGTTGGGGGATCTTGTGCTGTTTTTGGGGTGCCTGATGGTGGTTTTGGGGGGTCTCATGGTGATTTGGGTGGTTCTGATCTCATGTTGATTTTGATGGGTCCCTAAGCCCATTTTTGGTGTCCCTAACCCCATTTTGGTGTCCCTAACCCCATTTTCTCTGTCCCTAACCCATTTTCTGCGTCCCTCACCCCATTTTCTGTGTCCCTAAACCCATTTTTGGGGTCCCTGACCCCATTTCTGTGTCCCTAACCCCATTTCTGTGGTTCCTAACCCCATTTTGGTGTCCCTGACCCCATTTCTGTGTCCCTAACCCCATTTCTGTGGTTCCTAACCCCATTTTTTATTGTCCCTAACCCCATTTTGGTGTTCCCAACCCCATTTTCTGTGTCCCTATCCCCATTTTTTGTGCCCCTACCCCCATTTTTTGTGTCCCTAACCCCATTTTCGGTGTCCCTAACACCATTTTTGGTGTCCCTAACCCCATTTTTTCTGTCCCTAACCCCATTTTGGTGTAGATAACCCCATTTACGATGTCCCTGACCCATTTTTTGTGTCCCTAACCCCATTTTTGGTGTCCCCAACCCCATTTTTGTGTCCCTAACCCCATTTTTTCTGTCCCTAACCCCATTTTGGTGTAGACAACCCCATTTACGATGACCCTGACCCTGTTTTTGGGGCCCCTAACCCCATTTTTTGTGTCCCTTGCCCCATTTTTGTGTCCCTAACCCCATTTTTTGTGTCCCTAGCCCCATTTTTGGTGTAGACAACCCCATTTACGATGACCCTGACCCTGTTTTTGGGGCCCCTAACCCCATTTTTTGTGTCCCTTGCCCCATTTTTGTGTCCCTAACCCCATTTTTTGTGTCCCTAGCCCCATTTTTGGTGTAGACAACCCCATTTACGATGACCCTGACCCTGTTTTTGGGGCCCCTAACCCCATTTTTTGTGTCCCTAACACCATTTTTTGTGTTCCTAACCCCATTTTGGTGTAGCTAACCCCATTTTGGTGTAGCTAACCCCATTTTTGTGTCCCTGACCCTGTTTTTGGGGCCCCTAACCCCATTTTTTGTGTCCCTTGCCCCATTTTTGTGTCCCTAACCCCCCTAACCCCATTTTGGTGTAGACAACCCCATTTACGATGACCCTGACCCTGTTTTTGGGGCCCCTAACCCCATTTTTTGTGTCCCTAACACCATTTTTGTGTCCCTACCCCCATTTTTTGTGTCCCTAACACCATTTTTGATGTAGCTAACCCCATTTACGATGACCCTGCCCCTGTTTTTGGGATCCCTAACCCCTTTTTGGTGTAGATAACCCCATTTAGGATGTCCTTGACCCTGTTTTGGGGGCCCCATACCCCATTTTTGGTGTCCCCAACCCCATTTTTGTGTCGCTGACCCTGTTTTTGGGGCCCCTAACCCCCTTTTTGGGGTGTCTGGCCCCGTTTCTGCCCTCCAGGAGGACATGCAGGGCTGGCTGCGGGCGCTGGCCGCCAGCGCTCAGGAACACGCCGAGCTGGCCCGGTGGCAACAAGGCCTCCTGACCACCTCCTCCACCGACGAGGGGCTCCCCCGGCGCGACCCCGACCGGCCCCGGCGGAAGTGACCCCCCCCGAACCCCCACTTTGGGGTCCCGGTGCCCCAAAAAACCCAAATTTTGGGGTCCTGCCCCCCCCAAAAAACCTGAGTTTTGGGGTCCCACCCTCTCCACGAGTCCTGGGTTCGGGGTCCCGAGCCCCGATTTTGGGGTTCAGGCCGCCCCAAACTCTAATTTGGGGGTCCCAGCCCCACCCTGAACCTTGGTTTTGGGTCCTGGCCCACCCCAAAACTTCAATTTTGGGGTCCTGGTCCCCCCAGAATGTGAGTTTGGAGTCCTGGCCTGCACAAAACCTCAATTTTGGGGTCCTGGTTCCCCCAAAACTCCAATTTTGGGGTCTCGGCCCCCCTTTTCCCCCAGCACAAGCCATAGAAAGCCGGGGGGGCCCCAGCGCCGCCGTTGTACAAATGTAATAAAGCACCTGCTGCACCCCAAAAGTGGCCTGGGGGAAACTGGGGAGTCCGGGGGCGAAGGATGGGACATCCTGGGTGGATTTTGGGGTGTCCTGGGGGGGATCGGGGGAGTCCTGGGCGGGGGGAGTGGAGGAGACAAGGAGGGGATTAGGGAATCCTGGGGGAAAGTTGGGATGCCCAGGGTGGATTTTGGGGAGCCGAGGAGGAGATTGGGGCATCTTGGAAGGGGGGGTGGGAGGTACTGGGGGATTTCGAGGAGTTCAGGGAGGATTTGAGGAAAACCTGGGGGGGCTTAGGGGATTCCTGGTGGGGATTTGGGGGAATCATTCAGGGTTTGGGGGAGCACAGGGGGAGGTCTGCGGGGCCCTGGGAAATTCCAGGGAGTCCTGGGGAGGGTTGTGGCTCCCCTCCCTTTCCTTGAGGAGGAATGGAGGAGGAGGAGGAGGGAGGAGGAGAAGGAGGTGGGGTTAAGGAGGAGGAGGAATGAGAGAAGAGGAGGGATGGAACAGAAGGAGGCAGGGATAGGACAGAGGACGAGAAAGAGGCGGGATGGCGGAGGAAGAGCGGGAGGAAGAGGAAGAGGAAGAGGAGGGCCAAAGGCGGGTCCAGGCTGAGCAGGAGGAAGCACGCGGCCGAGCCCTCCGTGCATTCGCAGCCCCCACCTGTGGGATCATCGCCCCCCATGGCGCAGGTGAGCGGGGAGGGGGAGCTCGGCCCAGATATCCCGGGGGTCCCTGGGCTGGGGTGGGTTTTTTGGGGGGGATGTTTGGAGAATGAAGAAGTGCGAGGCTGAGCGGAAAAGGCCCCTCGGGGGGACATCGGGGGGTGGCGGTGGCGGCTGGCGGCAGAGGCAGCCTGGAGGAGCAGAGCCCTGTGTCCCCCAGGAGCCCAAAGTGGGGAGCCCAGAGAGGGGGGAGCGCCGCCATGGGCGGGAGCCTGCAGAGGCTGGAGAGGGGCAGGGGGGACTCCTTGGAGCCCCTGCAGCCCAGAGCAGAGAATGAGGGGAGAAGGGAGCCCAAAAGGGAGCCCGAAAAGCCCCGGCAGCCCTGAATGGGGAGCGAAGAGGGGGCAGCTTTTGGGATTGCTGGGACTGCCAGCAGCCTGGGGAGGGCGGGCACCGAGGACAAGGGGGACCCCAATGCCAGCGTGACCCCAGCAGCTGGGCCAGGGGGAACCCCAACAGCAGAGGGGAGGGAGCAGGGACGGGGAATTCCTGGGAGGCTTTTTAGGGCTGAACCTTGGTGTTTGGGAGGTTTTTCTGGAGCCCAGATCCCAGGTGAGTTCTGGGGATGGACTCGGGCAGAGGGACCTTCAATCTCAACGTGCTCATCCCTTGTTTTCCCCAAACCAGGATCTCCCATTCCCAACCCCCGGGAGGCTGTGAGGAAGAGGAGGATGCCCCGGGAGACGGAGGCAGGTGAGGAGGAAGTCAGTGCCCCTTTGCCCTCTGTGCTGCTCCATCTCCCAGCCCAGCAGGGCCCCGGCTGCAGGACAGCCTGGGGGCATCTCCTTGGCCTTGCCTGTGGCCCGGAGGCAAATGCCATCCTGTCCTTGTCCTTCCTCCCCCAGAGCAGGAGCTGAGCATGGAGAGCAGGGAGGACAAATCCCCGCGGCAGAAGCTGGTGGCAGAGGCCGTTTTGAGCGGCTCCACGGCGCAGGAAGCCAACGGGGAGGAAAAGCCCCGGAGATGCCGCACGAGGAGGGGCTGCAAACGCAGCTGGCGGGGATCTGAGGGGGAAAGAGCCAGCCTGGGCCGGGAAGGCGGCCGCAGATGGAGCCAGAGCTCGCAGCTGGTGGTCCGTGAGCAGCTCCGTGATGGGGAGAAGCCCCACACGTGCGAGGAGTGTGGTAAGGGCTTCAGGAAGAGATCGAAACTGATCCTGCACCAGAGGAGCCACACTGTGAGTGTGGGGAGTGTGGGATGAGCTTCACGTGGAGATCCAGTCTGATCCTGCACAGGAGGAGCCACACTGGGGAGAGACCCCATGAGTGTCGGGAATGTGGGAAGAGCTTCAGCCACAGCTCCAATCTGATCAGTCACCAGAGGATCCACACTGGGGAACGGCCCTATGAGTGTGGGGAGTGTGGGAAGACCTTCAGAGACAGCTCCAACCTCAATAATCACCAAAGGATCCATAGTGGGGAACGGCCCTACGAGTGTGGGGAGTGTGGGATGAGCTTCAGGTGGAGCTCCTACCTGATCGTGCACCAGAGGATCCACACCGGGGAACGGCCCTACGAGTGTGGGGAGTGTGGGAAGAGATGCAGCGACAGCTCCAACCTGATCGTGCACCAGAGGATCCACACT